GAAGTGTGTGTTTTAGTGTCATGATGTAGCAGTTTAGTATTTCGGTCTTTCAGTGGGGAAAATTTCTTCAAATATACTCAGCAATCGGTTGGTTCAGAATAGTTTAAAAAATGATGACAAAAAAAACTTATAAGCGCCCAAATTGAGAAATAGAGATACATCGTGAAAGCTGTTTTAATCGACCCACTCTAAATCTCGGAAGTCACAAAAATGAATGTGTGAAAAGGTTACAATTTAGAATCGGAGTGTTATTAATGTGGTCATGAACACGTGGTTATGAACGACTGCTATTTTTCGTAATTTTGGTTTTGTTAGCGATACGCGTTTTGAAAAAGCTCAAAATATCCAACTTTGAACCCGTTTTTCGTTGGTTTTCATCGTCTAAAAAAATCCGAAAAAATTCATTGCCTCCTTGTTTCAAGGGTGTGTAATTTTTGCCCGCACTCATATTGCCTATGGCGTGACGAATATTTTCAATCAATGAAATAAGATTAGATAGCGTGCATCTGACGATTACACAGCTTGAAATATGGTAAACCTATTTCGCCTGCTTCTCGACTGACAGTTACATATCGACGGTGTAAATCGGCAATCACATAACTCGGTTTTGACGTCGCAGACTTTCTGCCATACTTTATTTTTTGAGCGAAAAAATACTCAACGGCAATTCTTTAAAACTGCCGTGATTTTTATTCTCTGTGCTGAGAAAATTCTGCAAAAACTTCAATGAATCATGCCAATTTGTTCTCTTTTAAAAAAATAACATAGAGGCGGAGATTTTCAGACACCGCAAACGAGTTATGTGATTGCCGACTAACACCGTAGATATCTATTTGCACGTTTTGTTCCCAATTCAATCTGGAGAGTAATATGGATCTGCGCGGAAAAAACAAGTTTGCGTTGGAAACACGAAACGGATAGGTTAGTAAATTGGCGTTACCCCATTTTTTTGTGGTCCTCACTTGTCATAGCTCAAGGCTGACACGCAAAGCGGAATGGGTATGTTGCGGCCCTAATGGTAGATATGGGACGCAAAAAAGTGAGGTCGCGCCAATAATTCTGCCGTGCAAAGGAAAAACGCCGTATGAGTCTTCAGACGTTGCCAAGTTGCCTTCGATAAAAACCGAAATTACTGGGAAATTTTTTAATATTTGTTTCCAAATTTTTCAGAGAATTGTGTACGCATTTTAATCTAAAATATTTGAAAATTGCAAGGAAAAATGCGCATGAATGTCGTCAAAAATACATATTTTATCGAGGGAAATTTGGCAACTCTCGAATGTTCATACGACGTTTTTTCTTAGCACGGCAGAATTGACCGGCCATCTTGTGTCTCCGGCGCAACCCGTTTTGTCCGTGTGAGACACTGCTGATGACATCGAAGAGCTGCTGAACATAATCAAATAGGAAAAAAAGTGAAGTGGAGTAAAAAACAGTAGAAACCTCCAGCTATACTGAAGTAGTATTATTTAACAGAAAAATCGCGTTATTTTGAAATTAAGTTAAGATTTTTACGATGTTTTGGCGATAAAATTGCTATGATCATCAACATTTGAGCGATTATCCTCGATCTTATCGCAATTTTAAATCTATAAAATCGTGTTAGATAATATCGAAATTTGATCTCGATTTATCACGATTTTGATGTACTAAAATTGCAATAAATCACCGTCGATAAAATCGCGATTTTATTGCAAGTTTATGCAATGAAATCGCAATTTATTGCAATTCTTTATCCTATAATATTGCAATAAACCGACGTCGATAAAATCGCGATACACTCTCCGATCGAATCGCAACTTATCGCGATCAATGCCGAATGGAAGCACAAAATGATCGCGATATGAACCGATTGGTGCAGGGAAGGTGGTACCTGATGTAACATTTTCAGTTAGACTAGATGGCATAAAAATCACGATAGTCACATTAGAAAGTCTGAAATCCTCTCTTTATAACGCAATTTGCGTGCGTAGTTTGGAACACGATTTTTCGAAAGTCAAAGTTCGAAGTTCAAAAATTCGATTTTGGAAAAGTCGGACAAAGTTTGGAAACTTTAAAAACTCGTAACTTCATTATTACAAAACGTAGGGATCTTAATCTCTTAAAATTTACTTCAGAAAGCACCTCTTAAACTTTAAAATATCACGAAATAAACATCTAGATTTAGATTTTTTTTCTAGATGTTTTAGTCAAAAAAATCTTGTCCGACCTCTCCTATTGATTCGATCCACTGTGCGACGGGAGACCATATTCTCCTATGCTACGTCTCTGAATGTCCTTGGTCCCTCACAACATAACCGAGGCTCATAACCCCACACCTTTGGGCCCAGGTCAAAATCTGCGGTAGAACCGCGAAAAACGCGAATTTCCACCTATTTGGGCTTCGAAACCGTGTTAAGGCCCATATTTCGGGGCCGGAAAATGTGAGTATCGGCAAAATCCGACTAGTTCTGTAAAATTTGCATCGTTGACTGCTAAATATATCGACAAGTTTGCCGATTCTCTGCGGAGGGACTGATTTCGGCCCAAATCGCAACCCCTCCTTTCCCGCATCTGGGTGCAGTTTTCTAGACGCGGCAACAAGCAAACAGTAATTTCAGGCTGTTCGTTTTGCTCACTGGAGAAACGTTATCGTTAATACTGCCGTGCAACGGAGAAACGCCGTAAACGCCATTTTAAATATTTTGTAAACGATGTATCATAGCAGAAAAACTCATGTACCTTGAGACACTGTTTTTACAGAATTCTTTTACGAATATTATCAAGAGCTAGGCCTGAAAATTTTAGGTGCATGGGTAAAACAGTTTTTATTTCATAAAGTGTAATTGCGTTCCAAAAAACGCGGGAAAATCTTGATGGATTTACGGCGTTCTTGCTTAGTACGGCAGAATAGTGGTCCATGACTATGCCTACGCACCACCTATACGCACACCATTTCTCCAATTCATTGATCTACAGTTATGTTGAGAAATATTATGTTCAGAATTGTGAGTTTTCGTGAATCACATGGTACTGGAAGTTGCCGAAAATTGCCGTTGTTTTGTGTCCAGATACGGTGACCGGAAACTGCCCTCAGACGCGGGAAATTCGAAGAAGCATGTTCTAAACTACGTTGATTGCGTCTTAAGGGGTGGATTTCGGACTTTTTAATGTTACTATCGTTAAGTTCGTGCCATTTCATCTGTAGTAATAAGTCAGTCTATTTACCCGCTCTATTCACAAGTGTATTCACACTCATGTGCGCAACAGGAGAACGAGGTCTCGATATATACACGATTGAATTTCCAAAGCAATTATCCATTATCCAAGCGTCGCTTCGCGTCGGCAGTCCTCAGTTCTAAACTTGTTACTTTGCTTTATTTTCAAATGAAAAATTGTCAGAAATGTTCCATGCAGCAAGAAATGATGAATGGTGGTCTCCACATAGATCAAAGAAGGTGACCGTCCAATTTTGATCAAAGAAGACTATATGATATTTTCTTGTTTGTCGCACGGTGACCATCAGTTATCAAATGGACTGCATTTTGCAATTTGGAACTATAAATTTTGGCTCATATGAAAAAACACTCATATGCATTGGGAAACTAATGGCACATGCATTGTTTTTAAACTGAGCTAGAATTTATAGTTCCAAATTGCAAAATGTAGTCCAAATGGTCTACTTTGATCGGAATTGGTTCCGAATTTGATCTTGTATCGAAACCTTAAGACCCATTTTCATACAATGGAGCTCTTGCATGTGTCAGGAATTTACAATTTAAACACTGATACCTACATAAAATTTCGCTAGAGACACCATGGTGTCACTGATTTTCTCTTAAACAAACTCCAAAACTCAAAAAAAGCTCTCAAAGTTGAAGCCGCGATGGAGGAAATATCCCAGTCTATCCTGAGAATCCACCTCTACACACGTCAAACTTTCCATTTAAAGAAAGGGAGCAAATACACTTCCAGGGTTGCCTCTTTGTTTGAGACTTCAGAACCGAGAACACGGCAACCCTGCTAATGTACCTATTTGCTCCCTATCTTTGCATGGAGAGTTTGACTAGATACAGAGGTTGACTCTCAGGATTCCCTTCATTACAGTCTCAACTTTTAGAACTTTCTTTGAGCCTGTGAGTTCGTTTCAGAGAGAACCAATTATACTATCGTGATTTTAGTGTGATTTTTCGCGAGAAAAATTATGTACCTAAATCGCAAATCCCCTACACATTCAGGAGCTCTATTCCCCACTAAGAGCATGCCTGAGGCAAATTAAATGAGCAAAAAAACAAAAAAAATCCGATATACATAATTCTTATGATCTGACTAATCGTCACTTTTCTCACGAATGAACGTAACTCGATTTCAATGTTGTCAAATTT